TTGTATACTATTATAACATTATTAGGTATAGTAGTAATATGTGTTTTATGGACGACAAATGAAAGGTTGGCAACTTGCATACACCTGAAGAAACCAGGTATATATGCACCCAATAATTTAAACATACATGTATATGGCTTGGAAAAAACTACAATAACCTGTGAAACTTTTTACTTTATTATATTCTTATACTCTTTCATTCTTAAGGATGCATCATTTTTTGTTGTTTTGTTGCTGAAATCCTGTTTAGCTACAACTGATTGATGAATTTTTTTGGTCCTATTTCTGGCATTGCTTTGATCTTATTCCATTTCTCATGGCTCATTCATCTCATTTGCCTAGGGACTGGTGAAAGTGGGAAAAGTACTTTCATCAAACAGATGAGGATCATCCATGGCAGCGGATACAGTGAAGCTGACAGGAAAGGTTTCACCCGGCTGGTGTTTCAGAACATCGTCACAGCCATCCAAGCGCTGATCCACGCGATGAGGACTCTAGAGATTGACTACATCGATGACCAGAACATTGTGAGAAATGTCTTATGCAGCAAAACTCAGTGTGTCACATGTGTTTAACATGTTAATCTGCTAATTAGCATTAAACATAACATACAGCCGAGGAGGATGGGAATGTCATGTGTTTTGCTGGTCACAAACCAAAGTATTAGACAAATTAAACATTTGACCTGATGATGGTTCTATAGGAAAAAAGTAGTAAATTTCTCTCAAAACTACAAATGTGAACCTCATTGTGGCTTTATAATGATAAGCCAGGGGATCACCAAAATCATTAGGATTCATCGTCTATGGATTGTAAATGACTGTATAAAATTGAATAGTCACTGATCCAATAGTTGTTAAGATATTTCAGTCTGGCCTTTGTGGTGGACTGACTGACCCACAGACTGATATAGGCATCCATAGAGAGACACATGGCTGAAAATGAGTCAGTTTATTTTTACTTACTCGAGTTTCTGTTGAAAATCCAGTTAGTTCTAGGTGACATTCTGTTTCCATTCCCCATCCTCCTAATGATCTATTAATAAGTCAGTCAAAGATTGAAAGTTTGTGTTTAGAAAAATCCCCTGTGGATGTTTTGTGTGTCAGAGCCACGCAGAGAACCTGATCCAAGTGGATGCAGACCAGGTGTCCACTTTGGAGGCTTGGCAGGCAGACGCCATTAAGCGAGTGTGGAATGATCACGGTGTTCAAAGGTGCTACGACCGCAGGAGGGAATTCCAGTTATCTGACTCTGCCAAATAGTAAGACTTTTATATATTTCATATTAACATAAACCCAAAGCTCTGCCAGAAAACCAAAGCTTGTTCTGTGTGGAAAGAATAGAGTGGATTAATACTCATAAAACGTAATGTGCATATAACAAGTGCAAATTGCTGTATGACATTCCCTCTTATCCATTCAGGTTTGTGTCAGAATATTAAAATGGATGCACTGTTGTTCACTTCTCAGTTACCTGAGTGACATGGACAGAATCAAAGCCCCGTCATACATCCCCACCCTGCAGGACATCTTGAGGGTCAGGGTTCCCACCACGGGCATCATAGAGTACCCCTTTGACCTTTCAAAGGTTATCTTCAGGTAGAGTATTTTGCTTTTATATATACTAGCGCAGTGCCCGTAGGAAGTATGT